AAGACTTGGAGCAGGGAAAAAATGTCAATAATCTTCCATTTCCAGAGTGGAAAGAAATACCCTGGTTTGCTCTTCTCGGTCGATATGTATACACAGGGGCCAGAACTTTGAGAACCACACCGAGCACGTGGCTTTTCTCCATCCCCAGTGCTGTCCCCACCGCTGCCACCTGGCTCCATGCACCAGAGCAGGGGGGCTACTTCCTGCCTCATGGCTGATGGTGGCGGTGGCCTCCAGTGAGCGGGCTGTTCGGGGGGCCGGCAGCCCTTCAGCCACCACCACCCCCGTACTGGCCACCGCAGACACTGTCACCTACCTTCTCCCCAGTTCCAAGACCTTCTTCCTCTCTGAAATGGACAAGTGCTGTGGGCCCCAACGGTCCACCCCCACGTTCCCTTGTCGTGGCTCATCTTTGCCTGTCTACACGGACTTTCCTGTCCAGGAAGCGCAGCCTCAGAGGCGGTTCCCTCCCCGAGTGAGCACTTCGCCTTCTTCACCCTCCTCCTTTCCCAGCCTCCTCCTCGGCTCTCGCCCCCTTAAGCTCTCGGCAGGCTGTCGACATCTTTGCACGATTAAACTTTTTAAACAATGTCCTGTCTCTTTGAGGAGCCCTCACTGGAAACAGCGGGCTCGGTGCATTTTCAGGATTTGAGAACCACATGTGAGCGCCTTCCTTTCCGGAAAATGCCGTCTCTCTGCGGTGCGTTCTTCCGAGGGAAGGAGCAGACCAGGGTGGTCTCCTGCAGGTCCCTCGCCCTGGCCTGCCCGCTTCGGGCCTCCGGCAGGCGGACGGCGCTTCCAAGCTACATCTGCTGATGGCCTGTCACGTTTTCCAAGTGGAAAGACCTTCACGCGCTCAAGCAAAACCCTCCCCCGCGACTCCCGAAATCCACGTCCTGCTCTTCGTTTCCGGCGGCGTTGGCTCCACGTGAAGCGAATCGCCCGTATCTAGGAACCATCTGTCTTTCCATCTCCTTGCCCACGAGCCCCTCCCCCGGTGCAGAGCCAGGCAACCAGAAACAGGAGCAGACAGTGACTGAGACACTAGTCCGGGGCCCAGGAAATGAGCTAAAATGAGCCCGCGGCCACGACTTTATCCGGCTCGCTCAGCGTCAGAGAGGGGAGCAGAGTCCTGGAGCTGGCCGCCACCCAGATGTCACCTGTCCAAAGTGACAGCTGCCTGATAATGCCCCTAAGAATTCTTCTGATTAAAAAAAAGCCCATTTAATGTTTGGGTTACAGAAGAACACTCGCTTTCAGGTCGTCGAGATTGGATTGTCACTTGACCCCACAATCCTGTGCTTGACAAGCCGCGGGGCTCGATTGTAACTATGCCTTTACACAGTCGCATAAGGTCAGCATCAGAGTGTTTCGGAAAGGGACGTGTCCACGTGTCAGTCTCTAAATAACTGGGTCTCTCGCTGGTGCTTGGCAGCCTGTCTCTCGGTGCGGTTATCACACAACCACAGGCTCATTCGGTTACAAGTGGCCGCGAGGAAACCTGGGGCCTGGCTCACACTTAAAAATGGAAAAGAGGGGAACCACCCTATCTATGCTACTCCCTTAACTGTAACCTCAAACCAGGCAGAGGAAGCTTCATCCCCTGCCTCTCCCTCCAGGTCACAGGGACGCCTCGCCAGAGGTGTCCTCGCTGTGTGAAGCGAGTGGACTGGCGAGGAGACCACCACTCCTCCCTGCGTACAAGCCTCTTGAAACAGGACGATGTGAGAGCAGGTGGTTGCGTGGCCGGCACACACAGGTATCGACCGGTGTGCTGTCCTCTCTCCCGTGCGGGTCTTATCTACTTGGCTGGGAGGCCAGCAGGACCCTTGCCCTGTTCAATACAAGCACTTCCAACTCACAACGGCTAAAACATGCCCTTCCCTGCTGGGGCGGTCGTTTGAAACTGGAATCCATAATCTTACAGAAAGACCATTTTATTAGAGTCTCAGGCCATCTCATGAAAAATCTATTAAATGCACAATACGCCCAGAACCCAATGATAATTACGCACAGAATCCTTTCCTTACGACATCGGTGCACCGGGACCCCCCACAGATGTCCAGCACGGCAGGTGGGGCACCCTGTCCTTGGGGAGGAGTGGGCTCTCGCTCTCTGAAGGACCAGGGAGCTGAGAGAGGCCAAGGGGGCATCCTCCCGCCGTGGGTAGGCCCGCTGTCTGTACTTCCAGCGCCGCCGCCCCCAGTCCCGCCAGCTGCCACCCGCATCTGAGAGGTGTAGAAAACAGAGGCCTCTCAATAGGTACTTGTTGGATTCAATTCTGTTCCTCACTTATCTGTTCCATGGACACTTAGAAGCACCTGCTCTGTGCGCGGGACCGGCCGGGCAAAAATGAGCGAGACTACTTTGTTCTGAGCAAGCTCGACTCAGTGGGGGCTGTTCCACCGACAGGGGCCGTGGTGCAGAGCAGCACCCAGGACCGGCGGGGGGAAGCTGTGCCCACTCCGTTGAGGTCTACGCCGAGCCTGTCTCTGGCAGGCCCTCCTGGGACGAGGGCAGTGCTTCGTATGGACTGCTACACCAGAGACACCGGGGTAAGTGCCAACGCCAGAGATGTGGCCGCCGAGGCCCCAGGGCTTCCCCACGTTCAGAGAAACCCCAGCCGCGCACGGTGGTTTGGTTCTGGCGGGTGTAGAATTGCTGTTTACCTGTTCACAAATGGAAAAAACCTGTCCGTGCCGCAGGAGGTGTGTTTCTTTCAGGAAGCCTTTGAAAAATCATAAAATGGTCAGACTGAAAATAATGCAGGTGTCGGACGCGGCAAAGTGAGGGGCAGACAGGTGGCAGGAGGCTTCTTTCGGAGACACCTCCCGGGCTGCCCCCGGGTTTCCACATTCTCCGAGAATCTCGACCTAAGACACGACTATTGAGCCCCCCCAACCCTTCTGAGAGAGGGAACGAAGGGGAAATCCTTTCTCTGGAGAGAAAACGGCAGTTTGGAGAGAGAGGTCCCAGGACCCCTGGCCTGGCGGGCAGCACCCAGGGGACGACAGGAATCCTGGTGTCCACTTACCGACCGCTTCCCTGATGCAAACCACAACTTTCGGACCCTTTTTCGTTACCGTAAGCTGTCCTCAAAACAAACGCAGCTCGGCCACAAAAACCACTACGCAGGCCTGACCCAGCGGGGAGGTGCGTCCCCCCTTTCCGAAGGGGGGAACTCTTCTGGACCCCTCGAAATCACTGCCACCCGACGCTGCCATTAAACACCGGGAAGCAAATACCGAAGGCACCTCCAGGTCACAAGCAAATCGGATATGCAGCGTCTGTGACTCACAGAACAGAAATCCGTGTTGCACGCGACCTCCCCACACGCATCTCACTGCCTGCGCGCCGCAGAAACACCAGGGCGCTTTAGATCCCGCCTGGCGGGACCACGGGGCCCTTCCTGTGAGGTTCCTACCTTCAAACTACCTGATACCAGGCTGGAAATTAAAGTTCTTTGCCTGTCTTCCCGGACTACCCGGCCTTAGAGCAGAGCCGGCTAGTTCTCGGTAATCCGTGAGGCAGAAACAACAAATGCGGCAAACGTCTACCCTACAGACAGAAACCATGCCTTCCCGCGGCAGGGCGATGCAACGCTCAGGACGGACTCCCTACCACGCCCCCGAACAGCAAAAATAAGAACAGGGGCCTTCGACTTCCAGATTAGCAGGAAGTCTTCTGCAGGCCACACCTTCTCGCCGCCCTGCTACAAGCCATTAGCGTAAATGCGCAACCCACAGCCACTGGGAAGGGAAGACTCCCGGCCCGTTAGCTACACCGAACAGAGCCTCACACGCAGGGGCTGTGGGGGAGGAAGGGGGAGGAGAATCTGGGGTGTGTGGAATCCGTTACCACGAAACAAAGAAATAGTTTCGTTCAAATGTTTAAAACGATTACTTAAAGAGTATTAATTATAAAAACACAGAGGCTCGCCAACAGCAGGCCAGGAAGGAGCCAATGTCACGGCCAACACCTTCCCTTCTGCACCATCTTCCCCTTCCGGCTCCATCTCTTAAGATGAAGAAGACCATCTTGACCTTTCTGTTTTAGATTCTGGTATAAAAATCGGCTTCCTGAGCAGATCCACGGCTGCCTTGCTCAACGGCAGCTGCTCCGTAAATATTTACAGAATTGCAAAAACTTGAAAACATCGGTTGTTACATATCCATACCTATGGGCTGGCTAACTATGCACTGAATCTAAGCACCGTGGAATATTATATCGACATTTTAAATGGTGAAACACAAATTCACTCACACAGAAATGTTTTTCAGAACCAAATGGTTAGTGCAGGTTACAAAGCAGTGTATGTGGGAGAAACACATTTTCCCTTTCTGTCCTCTTTCATGCACACATGTGATGGCGAAAAATCTGTTTACGAGTTTGACAAATGACAATTAGTAAAAAAAAATTATTTATGATTATGGAATAATTCATTATCTGTCTCAAATAGAAGAGAAAGAAACGTTTTCTTCTGCTGTCTATTAATTAGCTTTTGCTTTGAAGTCGTAGGGTTTGCCAAGCTCACTGTCCAGCCCCTTGGGGACAGTGACCAGGCGATCGGCAGCATCCGGCCAGTTCTCCAGGCCAGCCCCGTCCTAGTGGAGGGCAGTGCTCAACCTGACCGACTGTCCCACCGGGCCACCTGCTTCACGTTCAAAGTGCAACTAAAACGGCCTGGTCCTTGTCAGTGTCAGACACGGCAGTGTCTGCCAGGGAGGAACATCTCTCACGGCTCTCCTGCCTAGTTTTGAGTGACATGGAGCCAGCCTGCCACCAAGCCACGAAGTCCCTAGTCAAACTGACATAAGAAAGTTTTCAGAACTTAAAAGGGCATCTGCCCATATTTGCCTTATTTCCAAAGCACTAAAAATATATCCCACGTTGCACCACGAAGTAATCATTAACCCCCAAATGGCTAGTCTGTAGGACAACAAAGTAAACATGTAAACATTTTGGCTTGGAAACGTTAGTCAATCAAACCTTCTATTTACCTGTAATGACAGCGTCTTGGTACTGAGCTTGTCTTGCCACAAACTGTTGCTTCGCAGAGGAGGCAGGGCCTTTAACTGGCCTTGGCAGTGAGAAAGTAAAGGAGGAAATAGTTACGATATGTCCTCTGGATTCTCCCCAGCGCTCCACCACCTTGGACGAGGAAAGTCACTGTGACCCCGCTTCTTCAAAGGCAGTAGTGTAGCAGGGTCGCTCCCAGGAACCCTGGGCCCCTCCCCATACCCATGCTCCCCCACCCCTTCCCAAGCAGCCCTGGGATCTAGGGGACCCCCTGGTTTGGGGAGAGGGGCTGGAGCTGGGGTGGACGCGCAGCTCCGGAGGTCCCAGAGCGCCCCGCGAAACCCAAAGCCATTATACAACCACGGACTTTTCTCAGAAAGAGCCTTGACATTTAGTGCACGCCGGCCCTCCTTTAAACTCAAAAAGACGAGGAAAGCCCGGGCGTGCAGCTGTCCCTTCTTAGCGTGGGTGGGCGTGAGGCAGAACCGACCCTCTGGGCTTTCTCCGAGCCACCATCCTGAGCCCGCCCCAGGACCGCGCAGCCAGGGCCCAGGGAGCTGGGCGCGGACGCCACGGGGGCCCGGGGCTCGGAAAGGAGTCACGCGGTGGAGCCTGCCCTGGGCTCGCCCGGCCCGGCCCGGCCGTCCGCCTGTGCTCGGGCGCAAAGTCAGACAGTTCCTCAAAGGTTGTCAACTAACCCGCCAGTGAGCTTTTCCTTTCGGACCGCAGCCGCCTGGCAAGGGACTCTGACGGTCCGACTGTCCGGGCCTCCGGCTACCTAGCCCAGGGGACCCCCCGGGATTTCGGGAAACGCCCCCTCCTGCCGGTGACGCCCAAACTCCGCCGTTGCGAGGGGAGGGCACGCTGGCCGCCCCGCCCGGTGGGCCTTGCCTCCCGGGAAGAACCAGAGGACCAGTGTCTCTGAGGTCCCGGACTCGACCTCCGCGCAGCCCCCAGCCCCAGCGACAGCCGCGGACGCTTGGGCTCCGGGAAGGAGGCGGAGCAGGGGGCGGCCCCCTGCGCCCAGGGCTCCCCCGCGCGAACCCGCGGCAAGCGCCCTCCGCCCGCGCCCCCGGGCCCCGCGCATGCGCCGCCGGGCGCGGCCCCTCCCCCGTCCGCCGCCGCCGCGGGTCCCGAGGCCGGGGGGCCGCCAGGCCCGCAGAACCCCGCGCGCGCCGGTTCGCCCCACGAGCACCTGGGCCGGTCCGTCGCCTGTCGGTCCGCCGAGCGAGCGCGCCGAGGGAGGCGGCACCCGACCCGGAGCTAGCGGCCGCCTCCGCCCCCGCCGCCCGCCGCCCCAGCCGTGGGGCCGCCGCGTCCCCAGCCCATGCCCGGCGCCGCCTCCCGCTCCCGTGCCAGCCGCACCCCCGCGGCACGCGCCGCCCCTCGGCCTCTCAGCCCCACGGGGCAGCGCGGGCCGCGGGCCCAGGAGCTCCGCCCCTCCGCCCCCCTCCGCCCCGGACCTCCGGCCCCGCCCCCGGGCCCCCCAGCCGCGGCCCAAGGCGGGACACACCCCCGGACGGCGGCGCCCGATTGGCTGCCCACGCGGCGGGCGGGGCCGCTGTCTGTTGCTCCCTCCTCGTGCCCCTCGTGGCTGCACCAGTGGGGAAACTGAGGCGGGGGGAGAAAGCCCGCTAAGGTCACGGGGCGGGCGTGTACGGCGCCGCGATGGGACACCGCGCGCGGCTGAGCCTCGGCGCGTATCCGAACCCGCGCGCCGGATGGGGCTCGAGTCCGAGCGCCCGTGGGCCCTGGGCTGGGGACGGGTGGGGGCTCCCGCGGGCGCCCGGGCTGCGCTAGCGAGGCCCCCCTCCCCCACCCCGGCAACCGGACTCCCGCCGGTCTGTACAAGGAGCTGGCCTAGACACCGGCCGAGGCACTGTGCCCTCGAGTTTCGGGGGTTCGCGGGGTGCGGGGCGGGCGGGGAAAGACCTTGTCCCCGGAACCCCAGGATGCAACAGTAGGAGAAGGGGAACGCGAGCTGGGAGGGCGCGTCAACAGGCGACCGAGGTGCCGGCAGGCCGGGTGCGGAGATGGGCAAAGGGCAACCAGGACGGGCAGGGGGGCGCGCTGCCAACTCCGGACCACCTGCCCCTGCCTGGCCAGGGCTGCGGTAGAGCCGTGCCCTCTCCTCCGGTGCGTCGGGGCACGGGCCGTCTTTGCCCCGCCGAGGCGCTGGGCCTCTGCCAGCCCACGGGGAGGTCGAGGACCAACAGCCATTTGTGAGACGGGGACGGGGGTGGGAGGTGCTGCAAAGAGGTTTCGTTCGCGCTGCGACGCTGAGCTCCAGGGAGGAATGCACGGAGCCCCGGCGCCAGCGCAGCAGGACTCCCGCCTTTGGGAACGAAATGTGTGCTATGCCAGCCCTCCTCCCCACACCCCCCTCACCATCCCGCACTGTTCTATTTGTAGAGGCCAGCGCCCGGGAACACCTACTCTGAGCAGGAAACTGCCCTCCGAACCAACCCTGTGTTAGGCAGAGGCCCTGCAGACCCTGGAGCCCTGGCCTCTCCGCTCTTTCACAGGCCCCTGAAACTCACCGGTGTTGATTAGCCCCATTCCCGTGGTGAACTTTGCCCCAGCCTGCAGACATCCACATAAACCCCCACACCCACACTGACAAGCCCAACTTTTATGGCACTTGCCAAGGTTTCATATTATGTGTCCAAGTTTATGAGGCGACGGGTGCACATTATATCCTGGATCTCACACAGGCGGGGCAGGCACCCGTACTATTGATTTGTGCATCCAGGGCCCTGCGTTGCTGGATGGCAGGGGTATAGCAGCGAAGGAAGCTGACCGCCATGTCCAGGCTCCGAGACCTCACCTGACATACTGCAGGTCCCAGACTGCCAAGCACCCAGAGTTCCAACACAGGGGTGTTGGCGTCTGTCCCCAGATGCACCGGGATTGTCATAAATCCAGTTCCATCAGGCTGTCGGAAAGACCCGGTGCGAACTGTTCGGACTGTGGACAGCACAGCCTGCACAGGGTTTGGCAGTGGCTGCACCCAGCAGACACAGAGGAGGGATGTTCCTGGGTGCTCAGGGCTCCCGAAGTTTTAGGGAGAGAAACCTTGCTGTTCATACCTGTGTTGAAATTTGTCCTGTTGAATAATGCTCTCAGCCAACCCCCGCCCCTGCCCAGGTAGAAAGTGGAAGGAAGGGCAAGACTTTTCTCAGAGGAGAATCCTGGGCAGAAATGGACGCATCCTGCTGCCCTGGGGGACTGTGAGTCCCTGTCTGCCATGAGGACCTTCAGACGCAGCCCACATTGGAGGAATGGGCACAAGGGACACCCCTGCCCTGCCCCCAGCTTCTGGAAGTCCCTCCCTCCCTTCCTCTGCGTCTGAACAGCAGAAACAGCCTCCTGGACAGGGACTGAGCAGAACGTCCCCTAGAACCTGGGGCACAAACTAGTGCTCTGGAAAAAGCGTGTGTGCGGCACCCGACTTCCTCTTCAGAGCCTCCATGGATAATGGGAGTGTTTGGGGCATGTGTGCCTTAGTCCATGCCTTCCAGGTACTGGGTGCTAGTGAAACTTTCAGGTCCTGTTCTCGCTTTCTAAGCTTGAAGACGCAGGGCCCAGGAGAGGAGGGGGCTCTGCAGAGTCCCCTGCCCCGCTGAGCAATGCCTGACATAGTGACCTGCCCAGTCCCACCAGAGCAGCCTAAGATCTCTCTTGTGGCCTCCCACCCTGCCCCCGAATCAGAAAGCCAGGACATTCAGAGGAAATGGTGAGGGTCTGCCACTTGAGACTAGGCAGCAAGTTAGAGTGTGTGCAGCTGGTGTTGGCCCTCTGTGTCAGAGAGAGAGGGAGGCCGGACGGCTGACCCTGGCCACTGCCGGGGGGACTTGTCTTTCCGGGTCTGGAGTCCAGGCTGAGGTCTGTTTGTCCACCGCGTAGGTGAGCCTGTTCCAGGAACGGTCGAAGGCCTCCCTGGGTCACTTCTTTGCTCTTTGCTGATCTACAAAACCTCCTGATGAAGTGAGTGTGTTCTCCCAGGGTGTCACCAGCCAGGTCGATGATCTCTGGTCTCCTGGAAGTGTGCGCTCAGGTCAGGAGGTGGAAGTCCACGGGGGCCAGGAACACAGACTGGAAAAGGCAGAATTCACTGTCGGTCAGTCCGGACCTGCTCCCTGGCCCGTGGCCGGGCCTCGGCAGGGCCAGCCACGGGCACCCGTGTGTCTGCCGCCCTAGCAACCGGGGCAAAACCTCATGGGTCCAGGTAGTGAAGTCATGTCACTCTGCACGGAACTCACAGTAGTTCCACAAGGCTGCTGGCTTCGCCACCATTTTGCAGGCGAGGAAATCAAGCAACTTGTTGGCCAAGGTCTCTAAGAGGGCGCCCGAACCGGACCCTCAGAGTGCGGCCCCACCTGCATCCCCACCTGCCGCTGGCTGCCCCAGAGGTTGCTGTCTGGTCTGGAGGTGCAGGCCGGAAGCCCCGGCTATCTCTGGCAGACCCAGGAGCACGGTGCTGCGGGTGGGGTGGGGGTGGCGGCACTGACAGCGGCCAGGCCAGCGACAGGAGAGAGGGGCCCTCTCCAGGTGGGGAGAGGGGAAGCGGTACAAGGTGGACCCCAGCCAGGGAGTGATCTGTGTCCTGGTGGGGAGTGGCACTTGACTCCGTCACGTAGTGACACGTACTGAGTGATCCATGTTAACTAATTCTTCCCAAAGCAGCAGGTGGTGGGCTCGTGGGCACTGAGGTCTGCAGGGGCTGGGAGCTCCTGCAGGACCAGCTGCCACTGTCTAGACACTCAGCCCCTTTGATGATTGGCTGGCCCCTAGGCAAAGGCCACAGACCTGGGTGCGGGCCTCTGATGTGTCCCTGTGGTCCTTGGGAAGCCACGCTGCCCCTCCCCCCGTCTGTCCCCAGGGCCAGACACCTTCCTCGTCAGCACATGCTGTCCCATCCCTTGTTGTCTTAAGGGCAGGGGACAGGGGCTGCTGGGACAGCGATGTCTTTTGTCCAGTTCAGAGCAAGGACTCGGAGCACCAGGGCCTCTGTAACCTGGTGGCCCAGTGTCACTGTAGAGCGATGTGGAGTGAATTCCCTCTGTAAGGGACATTCCCTTTGCATGGAGGTCTGGTCTGCAGTGTCTCTGCCCAGGCTGGGATCTCCCCCCTCACGCCACGACCCGCCCTGCCATGTAGTGTAAATGGTGAGGTCCGAGAGGGGTGTGGAGAGAAGTCACGGAGTGCCGACCCTCACTCAGATGCCTGGTCAGTGCAGGTGCGCACGCTGCTGCCTCTGCCTGCGGCCCCGCCCCCAGCTCCCACCGGAAACGGGTGACGGAACCTGGGATGCAGGGTCGGACAGCCCTGGCTTCAAAGCCTTGTTCTACCTTTTACTCCTGCTACAAGGGACAAAGGACTTGACCTTCAGCCTGAACTTCCCCGCCTGTAAAATGGGGCAGCAAGGCTCACGGGCATAGGTGCTGGGTGAGAATTAGAGGGAGTGTGGAGGAGGTGCCCATATCCGAGATGTGATACCCGCCTGCCCAGGGCTCTGCCAAGGGTCGCCTCCTCCAGGAAGCCCTCTCGGGGTGCGCCCTCCTGCCACCACCTCCCGGGCGGCGTTTGTCTAGTCCAGCGCTGTTTTGTGATGGCCCCGCCTGGCTTAGCTCCCAAACCAGCCGCCACAAACTGAGCTCTGAAACCAGCCTGGCACCAGGTGTCCCCTGGTTGCTTCCTCACAGGACCCTCAGACTTACTCTGGTACCTGCCTTTTATAGAATTGTCCTGCCGGCCGGTCAAGGCATCCGGAACCCACGGCAGGGGCCCCTCGCCCTGCTCCGTCCTGGTCCCAGGGCCCAGCACGGGCCTGGCCTGGGTCGCAGAGGCCCCGCCACCCCGCGAGGGCGCAGAGGGGCTGCGCGGCTCCCCTGGCAGCCTCTGTTTTCACTGCAGTGAGCAACTGGACGGCGCTCCCCAGTCCCCTGAAGGGACAGGCCACATTCAGCAAAGTGACTCTGGTTTGGGCAGAATGGGGGAAAGCAGTGGGAACCCGGTGGACAGTTTTCTACGAAGCTTCACCTGTGAGAGGTGTCCAACCGGCAGCCCACAGGCCGCATGTGGCCCAGCACAAAATTGTAAATTCACTTAAAACATGATGAGACTGTCCTTGTTTGTGTTAGTGTTTGTGTACTTAACGTGTGGCCCAAGACAACTGTTCCCCAACCGCTGTGGCCCAGAGACGCCAGGAGGTGGGACCCACAGAGGACTTTTGACAGATCTCCTCCCCCCCCATGCCTTTTGTTGTGGAAAGTGACTTTTCTTAGTCACTAGGCTGTAGACGCAGGGCTGAGAGCAGGTGGTTGGGGGCGGTGGGCTT